AGTGTTTTCGTTTTCTGGATGTTAGCGTATTTAATTAGAAACTTTAATGTTAAATAATGAGTTGAAAAAATAAATTAAACATTTTACAAAAGTCTGTCAATGTTTTGCTGGAAACTACAATCAAAGTAAATATTCACTGTAGACACTGTTTTAGAGAAGAGTCTGCTGACGAATAATGAAGTGACGTTTATATGTAAATATGTGGTTTTAAACAGCATGAAGTTTGCAAAAAAGAAGAAGAAATGTATCTGAAAAATTGATCCGTTGATGTCAACTAAATTCTTGGAACAAAGCTAGGCACGTTTTCAACATGTAAGAAAATTTAAGCCACAAATGTTCCTACTAAAACTTTTTTATAAGGGTTTGTACCCCTCTGATTTTCCTGGAGCAGTCAAACATTTTATGGTTTTAGTTCAAACATAAAGTCAAGGCCATTTGAGGGTTAAAGGACCTTCCAATGAAAGAAAGAGGGTTATTTTTGGACCTCTTCTGTTTCACTCTATCTGCTCCCTTTGGAGTCTATCCTAAGGAAACATGGTCTTTCATTTCATTGTTATGCTGATGATTGTCAGATTTATACCCTTGAAACCTAATAGTTCTTGCTCCATTCACCCTCTGGTAAAATGTCTTGATGACATCAAGGCATGGATGGCTTCAAATATTTTCAAGTTTTAATTATCAGAAGACTGAAGTCATTGTGTTTAGCCCATCACTGGAAAAAATGGGAATTGGCAAGTCTTTGAATTTGCATCAACAAAATAAGTTAATGCTACACAAGAGATTCACGTTTCTTTTATTTGCATGATTGAATAAAGCACCATTTACTTAATTATCAGCAATGTTGAAACCTCATTTTTCTTGGGTTGATTTAATGTGACTAAATTAGATTACTAAAACCATTATAATCATGTTTTATCATTAGCAGAAATGATGCAATATATCAAAAGACAACAATTAAATATGTTTGGACAATAATAAGCGCGGTCTTTAGTCTTAACCAGTAAGATGCCAACCAACATAATTTAAGGAGATCACGATTGACCGCGCAGTTTCTTCACAGACTATTCAGCCACAAGAACTTAGCTCTATCGCCTTGACTCTCTTCAGCCTTATATTAAGGAGTCTGTTACAAACCTCTGGATGGTTTTAGACTCTGACTTTAAGTTTAATAAACAAATTAATTATATTCTGCAGAAAAGCTAAGCTTAAGTCAGTGTTGTCCAGATCTGACCTTGGAAAAACTAGTCCATGTCTTTATTACTACCCAACTGGACACATTCAGGTCTCCATTTCGTGTCTCCAGCTCGTCCAAAATGCTGCAGCTCAGCTCTTAACAGGATCCCATAGGTTTGGTCATATTACACCAGTTTTATCCTCCCTTCACTGGCTCCCTGAATGTACCAGAACTGATTTTAAAATTCTCCTGTTAACCTTTAAGTGCCTAAATGGCCTTGCACCCTCATATCTATGAGCTACTGAACTATATGTTCCTTCCTGGGCCCTGACATCTTCTGATCAGCTGCTTTTGGCAGTTTCAAAAACAAGATTGAAGCTCAGAGGCGATTGGGCCTTTTCAGTCATGGGCCCCAAACTTTGGAACAATCTCCCCCCCCCCCCCCCCCACCCCCAACATTAGACAGGCCACTACACTTCCTGTTTTTAATCTCTGCAAAAAACACACCTGTTTTCACTGGTTTTTACAGTGTGATTTGATTTAGTACTTTACTGTTCTGTGTTTTTATGCTTTTATTTTGATACTTTTAATTAATAGTTCAGTACTACCTTTTTTAAATTAAATTACTCCCATTGATTTTTATTGTTAAGTACTTTGGTAACAGCTGCTGTTTGAAATGTGCTTTATAAATTCATTTGACTTGATTGACACCCAAATAAACATTCAGTGTCAGAGAAGCACCTCTGAAATGTAATATTTCATAGCTCAGCTGTCTAAAAGCTTTCAGAAACAATCCATAATTTGGGTTTGATAGAAAAATAAAGTGAATGTTTGGTGATTTTGGAGTAGATTTACACTGAACTGGCAACAGTTTGTCTCATTTCGCCATAAAGTTTAAAGGCACTTGTGAATTTTATGTTTGACATGCAGCCAGAGTCCCGCTCCTGATTTTAATGTGTAACACAAGTAGAGTCTCTCCTTTTTAGAAAAGGTCAGGGTGAATGTGTGTTTGTTACCTCCTGGCATTGGCCATGCTTTCCATCTCTCGGGCTTTGCGAGCGGCAGTGTGCAGTACGGAATCGGGGATGTCAGCCAGCCGGGCAACATTGAGGCCGTAGCTTCGTCCTGCAGCTCCTTCAGTCAACAGGTAGAGGAAGGTGATGAATTCTGGCTGAACATCTGCATCTGTCAACACAACAAATTACATACAATAATGCTTCAACGACACCAATGTGAAGAAGTATCAATACTCCCAAGTAAAATTACAAAAATCCATCTTTAAAGCAACAACATTGACGCTAATTTGCACTAAAAATATCAATAAGATTTTTTATGTGTGCACTAAAGTACGCACATACCATCAATGTCAGTAGAGACGTCGGGCTCATTAAGTAAGAAAGCCATGTGGTAGTTGGATACATGCTCAGGGTACAGCTGCTCCAACTCACACAGAGGAGGATAATGGGTCACAAACAAGGTAAGGGCCTTCACCTTGGAGACAGAATGAAGAGTGGAGTTAGTATCCAGAAGCTTTCCAATGTTGTCAACACGCCGAGTTTTAAAAAGAGTTAGCTTCTGATCTCTACAAATGGTGTTCTCTGGAAAGTTTATGAACAATTAATATCTTACCTGTTATAGATTGCTTTCTGACTGCCCTCAGTTTGGAGAAATGGACTTTATTTCTGACCAGACTAATGAGCTAACGGGCGAGCAGGCCCGGACTAAAGTGGACTACTGTCGTCTTAAAACTTTATTCTAAAAATTTCAAAGCAACTCATATGAATGATGGTTCATAAATGTTGCTGTAATTTCTTTTTAGACTAGTGTTTTTTTTTTTTTTCAAGCCAATAGCTTCAGTCTGGTCAAAATTCAACTGTATTTCTCCAAACTGAGATTATTCAAAGTGATATTTGCATCATGTAAGATATTGATTGTTTGCAACTTTCCACAGAACCCCATTTCAAAATACTAAACTATCATTTTACAGCAGAAAAAAAAAAGAGTCATCCGGTTGTAAATTAAATCTGTTCCCAGTTGTGGAAAAACAACTTTCAGCCATCGAGTGGAAAACGGCAAAGCCTCAAGCAGGAACGTTATCACTGTTTACAGATCAGACTCCCACCAGAGAAACATGTCACTGCTGTTGTAAAAACAGTTATTAAAGATGTCCTTTTGGTAAATAAAACTATAAAATAAAGAAAGAAACATGAGACAGCCCTCCACCTGTCTTGGTCAGATTTACTGACAGCAGAACTGCCACCTCTCCACCAGCGCTGCATTATTGCAGCTGTTGGATAAATTACATTTGATTACAGTTTCCACAGAATGCAGACATAAAAATCATAAAAACTTTAATTGTTACAATTTTGGTAGATTTTTTTTTTTATGAATAATTTTATCATTTTGACTGAATAACTGACCACTGACCAGAGAAAAAACTGACGACAAAAGCAATTTCTGAAAGAAGGGAGGTCATCGTGTCACTTCTGCTGGAACAACAGGTATGAACGTTATTTAGATGATTAAAATTATCGAATAAAATGCAGAAAAAATGTAAGATAATAAAGTTATTGCATCTTGAATTGAGATGGAAATGAGAATACTTTGTTTGACTGGAAATACCACAAAAACAACACAGAACAGTATTTTTATTTAAAATGCATGTTCCCTTTTGAATGCAGTTTTAACACCTTTCAGAAAATGGTGAAACAAAAACATTTGATGGGTAAATAATGTAATAATATTTAAAAAAAAACAAAAAAAAACGAACCTAAAAAAAAAATTATGTTACTGAACAGTCTTTGTATTTTGATACAAGTACACAAAGCTAATGAAACAAACATTCAAACTACTTCATATTTTCATCCAAACATAATTTTAAAAAATGGGAGTGGGGGTTGGTTTGTTTAACTGAAGGATTTTCCTATTCAGTCTCTTTAATTTTTCTAGAAAACACCAAACACATCTTTTCATATTCTTGAGGATGATTAGGCAAAGTCTCTTCACTTAATCCTGCTGTTTCCTATTTAATCTCAGGCCAGAAAAAGACGACACGACTGAACTCTGAAATTAATGGTAAGACAAGACATTTACTAGCAAGTAATGCACGCACTCAGTTAGAATCCTTTAAATGCATGCAGAAACACCTTAGTGATGACAGCTTAAAATGATTATTTTTTGCTTATAATAACAAGACAATCGCATAAATGGATGAAAGAGAGCAACGATATGTGATAAATGTTCCTCTTCCTCTCTTAAATCAGCCTCAAATTGTGACAAGCTGTTGAAAACTAAATGTTCTTGGATTTAAAGTCTTAGACCATGTCTACACAAACACGGATTTTCCAAAACAATAGTTTATTTTTGTTTAGAGAAATATCCTCGTAAACACATGGCATTGTTTCTAGAAATTTCTTTATCCAAATAGAAACGACAAAAATGATTCGATGCATTTATAGTAATTCGACTTGTCCTGTTCACAGCGCTATACAGAAATACACAAAAAAACAGGAAACAAGGCGCAAGAAGTTTGTGTGCTGGCTATAACACAATCAAATTATGGGTGGGGCTATAACATCAGTGTCATACGATTACGTTTAGATTACAGTAGATCCTCGGTACTTCGCGGTTCAACTATTGCAGAGTCGGCTCTTTCGCGGTTTTTCAACTATTGTCAACTTTAAAATTACTCACGGGATTGGGATGGTACAGGATAAAAAGTTAATGGGAAAAAATACTTCGGACAGGCGCCGCCATTTTGTAATATTCTTTCAATAAGCCTATACTGTAACGCCAGTCAAAGAACTACACTACCCAGAATCCAACAGTGCTTCCGGCTGCTGCTTTCTGAAGAGAGATAAACTGTTGTGCATTAAACTTTGCCTATAGTCATCACTCCATAGTGCAGATTCAGTTTTAAAATATTTATTTATATTATTAAGATTTACAGTCTTTCAGGCACCAAAACACATGCATTTTAAAATAGATAAGTTTTGTGATTGTTTTCTGTCTAGAGAATGCAGTGCAATTAAGAAAAGATTCAGGGCTTCAGTCCCAAAATCCCAGGCTTAAAAGCAATTATAGTGTCACTCCCAGTCGCACATGCTTTTTCACAAAGACCAAAACCTGCTAATATGCAAACATATCACACCAATATGCACAAATAGACAAACCACTGTTTTGCACTGAAACATGAGACAAAAGCAAGTGTCACACAGGGAGGCTGCAATCTGAATAATGATTTGATTTGGTGCTAATGGCAGCTCATTACCAGACCAGCCCAGGGTGCACTGAGAACATCACTTCACAGAATAACAACCTAACTACATTAGAGCTGAAAGAATTGATTGGGCAATGATTAAAAGGCTCATTAATAAGGAATTTCGATGACGAAACAAAACACGTCTGATTTCATCATGTTAAAAGCAAACGGTCACCTGGTTCTAGAGATATACGCCTGCAGACAGACTGCTTGCTAGAAATTTATGTTTGCATTTGTGAAGCTATCCTATCTGACTACTGAAGAGTTACAGATGATTATATGGAAGTGTGTGTAAACAGAAGAGAGATTAGAGAAGTTGTTGATCATCAAATTTCCACCAGCTGTGAGTTTAATGCGTCAGCTGATGTTGCCTTGGAGAGGTTAAAGTCCAAGTAAAGCAAATTCAAAGATTTGCATTTCATCACATTTTACATAATAAAGAATGCATTAAAAAAATAAGAGATTATTTCAGCATGAGCACTGCTGGCAAAGAAAAATTAAAACAAGCTTTAATTTCTGATGACATCACAGAACTTGCTCATAACTGCAGATGAGGATGAAATATAACCCGGGAGATATATAAAAATGTGACATTCGGAGGAAATTTTCATTTATAAATGTATTTCATTATTGTAAACTTGAATCTGCTCTCTGTTTATAAACAGAAAGAGGAAACCTTTGGAGCGGTTAAAGAGAAAACCCAGATGTGTTCACCCTACAATTTGTTGGTGAAATAAAACAAATTTTCTGGCAGAATGCTAATCTGTGACGCCACATTACATACTTATATGTTGCAGTGTGTAGCTGCAGCTGAAGTGAAGAGCGTGAAGGGTTTCTTTCGGTCCTAATGTGCGTCAACATCTTTAAAAAGACAATGAAATCTTCCAGCGAGCATAATAACAATGACAGAAGCAAAAGCTAAAAACACTAGCACTGAATCAATGTGTATAAAAACAATGCAGGCACCAAGAGCTGAGCAGCACACATTGTTGAAGTTTTATGCACCAGCATGAGCCCATTAGACCATTTACTCCCACACGCAGTGTTATGTTGCACCGATTATTTATACATCAGTGTGCAGTTTCAGGTTCTTTAAATCTGCAGTTAATAAACTGGATATGACTGCTTTTTTACAACATTAACGCTGCCACGTTCAAGTCTTAGTCATGGTATGATTGCCAGCAGGAGGCAACGTCAAAATGTGTGTAAACGCAACATCAGGATTTGGTGTTGGAGTAACAAAAAGCTCAGGTATGTACGAGTGTAACGGCTCAAACAGAGAGGAAATTATTAGGTGCCTCAAAAATCACAGATAAAAGAGATTTCAATCAGAAAAACACTGAACCAACAACTTTTGGCAAATGCAATTACTAGTAGGGATGCACAATGTTATCGGCATGGTATCGGAATCTGACGATATTCGCAATAGTTAAATATCGGACATTGGCCATTCTATCAAAATAACTCACCGACATAAAAGGCACAGTTTTATATATTTAAATCCACGAAAGGTGTTGTTTTTGTAAAACAACCCAGTGATAAGTTTGCCTGAAGCACTAGCATGTTATGACATCATGCGCACCATGAGTTTAGATTTGTGAAAATTTACAAATTTGTACCATTCGAGTGTTGTCATTGTGTTAGAGAGACTAAATATGAATAAATTAGACATTAAACAGAATCCAAGTTGAAGTGTTACATCATTTTCAGCCCCCTTTTTAGCATCTGCGTTTGGTAGCAGGCCAAAATGACAAAGACCAAGCAGAATAATGTAGTATTTTAATTCCACAGCAGAGAAAGCGATGTAGTCTCTGTAAGTAGGTCTAGGGAAAAAAATACTAGTATTGGTATCGGTTATCGACCAAATAAGTTTTAACATATCGGATATCGGCCAATCCAATATTGTGCATCTCTAATTACTAGATTTAGAAAAAACAATTCTCCTCTTCTCACATGTTACTTCTTTGTCTGGATCAAGGTTGTTTCTATTACTGAGCAACGTTATGAAACCCATCCGTATTTCTCAGATACGTGTTGGGGACATGAAAAGGTGCGTTTCTATAACAACTGCGATAGAGGAGGAGTTGTCGAACTTTTGACGTGAACTGTTAGCATCTTGTAAAGAGGAGGAGGAAGTGGCAGAAGAAGGACTAAGAAGGACTAAGAAGTCAAGAAGTCGGCATTAAAGCCTACTGAGGAGGCTCCTTCCTGTAAAGTATACTGTAAACTT